GTGTGTGTGTGTGTGTGTGTGTGTGTGTGTGTGTGCTGAAGGGCCCGCAGGTAACTTCCCGCCGGTGCCGCAGCGTGGGCCGCTGTCAGATGAGAGCCGCAGCCGTCAGTCCTCCAGAACACACACCACTGAAGCCATCGCGCGCGCTCGAGGAGCCGGAGCCGGAGCCGCTGCCACTGGGAAGAGCAACCTGGCCGGACAGATCATCCCCATATACGGCTTCGGCATCCTGCTCTACATACTGTACATACTGTTTAAGGTGCTCACACACACACACACACACACACACACACACACACACATCTGCATATGTGCGTGTGTGGTCAGTGATCTAGTTCCACACACTGATGATCTTTGTGTGTGTGTGTGTGTGTGTGTGTGTCAGATCACAGCTAAAGGCAGGTCCTCCACTCCTCCAGAGAGCAGACTCAGTGCGGTGCGAGCGGAAAACACCAAGAGGAAGATCAGTACGAGCACACACACACACACACACACATTGAACACTGCTATGAAAAGCAGCTCCAGCACACTATTATAATCTGTGTGTGTGTGTGTGTGTGTGTGTGTGTGTGTGTGTGTGTGTGTGTGTGTGTCAGCTGATTTCGAGTTGGCTCAGCTGCAGGACCGACTGAACGAGACGAAGGACATGATCGAGAGAATCCTCTCTACAGCCAGCACCGGCTCAGAAAGGTGTGTGTGTGTGTGTGTGTGTATTACATGAGTGTGTATGTGCTGTGAGTTAGTGTATAATGTGTGCATCGTGAGTGTGTGTGTAGCACATGTATGTTCTGTGTGTGTGACGAGTGTGTGCAGTGTATGTACTGCAAGTGTTACCCACACCAAGAGTGTGTAATGTGTGTGTTGTGATTGAGTGTGTGTAGTGCACATGTGTGATTCATGAGTGTTCATATGGGTGTGTGTTATCTTCACCGTGTGTGTGTGTGTGTGTGTAGCGCTGCAGTGCCGCTGGATGAGGAGCAGAATCTGCTGTTCCAGCTGCAGGAGATCACGCGTGTGATGCAGGAGGGCCGACTGGTGGACACGGCAGGTCTGAGAACGCACACACAAACACACACACACACTGAAAACCGCTCCATTTACTCAACCGTTTTTACGTTGTTAAATTTGAAAAAAAAAAAATAGTGTGTGTTTATATCACCCCAATATGACATATACACTATACTTACACACGTCTGTCCAAACAGCTTTAAAAGTAGATTTTTCACCATAGGTGCCCTTTAAAAAAATATAATAAACATAAATAAATATTATTTAGTTTTAAGATACTAGTATTCAGCTTAAAGTGCAATTTAAAGGCTTTAATGGGTTAATTAGGCAAGTTATAGTAATTAGGCAAGTCCTTGTAAAATGATGGTTTGTGATGTAGACATTAAAAAATGCTTAAGAAAGCTAATAATATTGACCTTATAATTATTAAAAAATATATTTTATTCTAGCTGAAATAAAACTTTAAAACTGAAATAAAAGAGGAAGAAAAAAATATTATAGGAAATACAGTGAACATCTACTCTAACTCTGTTAAACATAATAAAAAAATAAAAAACACAGGAGGGCTAATAATTTTGACTTTAACTATATATGGTGTGTATGTATATAAATTTATATATGATGT